TAAAGAGCTATGTCTCGCCTTCTTCTAGCTTTTCTAGAACGCGAGATATAGCCATTTGAAGCTNTGGGAGAGACGCAGACAGTCAGACACTCAGAGAGATGCAGACGACGAGACACACTGCGTCTCTAGTCTCCAAAACTTCTAAGCGCTGTATCTCGGCATCTAGAAAAGCTAGAAACTTGGTTCTTTTTGTAAACTTTCTAGAAGAACATCTATATTCTCAGATTGTACCTTTTAGAATCCGAGGCTTCTTTCTCATGAACCATTAGAGCTATCAAAACGTTATCTGTTAGTAAGTTGTGTAGAATAAAATTTAAGACATTTTTGATGTTGACCATTTTTTGATAACTGTCACGGTTCGTGAAATATGCGCCTTTAAAATTTGGAGGAGACACAGACAACGAGAGCGCCCTCACCTCTCTGCCAAATTTAAAGACGCATATCTCATGAACCTTCAAAGTTATCAACAAGTTGTCAACTACAAAAATGTGTAGAATCTTATTTCACACATTTTACTAGTTGACAAATCTTTTCTAACTTTTCTACTTTTCTAGATACACTCAATTTTCAGATGTACTACTCGGCTCGATATCTGGAATCCGAAGCCTACAAAAAGAATATGGAAGCCCAGCGTATCGTTGCTGGATCCTTTGGAACTGGAACATTTTCGGATCCCTGCAAAACGATTTTCTCGAGATTCTTCTCGAATTTTGTTCCGAACGATGAGAAACATGACAACGCCAATGTGGCGTTCACTCCCGTTGGAGATGGTGTCTATGCGTGTACAGAGACACCGCACATGTTGAGAATCGATTTGGATACTTTGAAGACTTTGGAACCGGTAAGGGTTACTGTAGTTTCTGGAGGAAGAACCGGGTTTCAAGCTCATCTAGGAGCCGAGATATGGTCGTTTGAAGTTTTGGAGGACAGAGACGCAGACACTCTAGTTGTCTGCGTCTCTATCCGCGTTTCTAGAAATGCTAAAAATATCTCTTTTTTTTTCAATTTTTCCGCTCAAATTACAGATTGTGATGGTTTTTTATTTCTAAAAAAACCAATTTTTTTGGAAATTTTTTAGCTTTTCTTAAAAAGAATAAAATTTCCAATAATTCTGTTTTTGTTCCAACTTTCTAGCTCATCTAGAAGTCGAGATAAAGCCATTTGAAGATTAGGCGAGACGCAGAGAGTCAGACACTCGGAGAGACGCAGACGACGAGACTCTCTGCGTCTCTCATTTCCAAAACTTCAAAGCGCTGTATCTCGGCTCCCAGATGTGCTAGAGAATCGAAAACTTGACAGAAATGGATGAAATTTCATCGAGAATATTCGAGTCTTAGAAAATTCTGCAAAATTGGGAAAAAAGATTTTTCGAATTTAGTGAAAATTATCAAACTTTATATCATTGAGTTTGTCAAACAATTTCACATGTTTCTAACAAAAAACCAGTCAAAACGGACCACTGGGCGCCGAGTTACATTTGTTTGCAGTTCAAGCAAGACACAGACAGTCAGACACTCGGAGAGACGCAGACGACAAGACACTCTGCGTCTCTAACCTCGCGAAATTCAAATGCCTGTATTTTGGCTCCTAGAAGAGCTAGAAACTCGGTTCTTTTTGTGTTCTGTAGCACTTTTCCTATATTTTTCATTTTTTACACTTTTAGAAAAAAAAAATTTCAGACTGACATGTCAAAATCAGACATGTGGTATGTAACTGAAGTTTATGAAAACTGAAGGAATTAAAATAGATTTTGGTGAAAAAAAAAACTTTTTAGCTTGTCTGGGGGCCGAGATATGGTCGTTTGCAGTTTAGGCAAGACGCAGACAGTCAGACTATTTGAGAGACGCAGACAACGAGACACGCTGCGTCTCTAGCCTCCAAAACTTCAAATGGTTGTATCTCGGCTCCGAGAATAGCTAGAAACTTGATTCTTTTTGGGTTTTGTAGGATTTTTTTTATATTTTTCATTTTTACAACTTTTAACCTGAACATTTCAGATCGACATGTCAAAATACGTTGCCCTTCACACATGTACCGCCCATCAACTTTACGACGAGAACGGGGACGTGTACAACATTGGATCTCGTTTCGGACCCGACTCGGCTCATGTTTTTACAGTAACCCGGAATCCGAAAAATGAGCAATCCGAGAGCAATCACTCTTGGGAGCACACGGAGAAAATTGGAGAGATAAAGTGTACGGAAGCAATGATCCGACTTATATGCACTCCTTTGGAATGTCCGAAAACTATTTGATAATGTTCGAATCACCGATTCGGCTGGATATCAAGAAATTTTTGATGCGAAACTTTATCAGTGCCACGTATCGAGACTGTCTGAAATGGCATAGTGATAAGGAGGTCAAAGTGTTCATTATGGATAAGAAGACCGGAAAAAATTTGGATGTGAAGTTCGAAATGGACCCGTTCTTCACATTCCATCATGCCAATACATTTGAAAAAGATGGATGTTTGGTGGTGGATTACTGTAGAATGGGACAGACGGGCAATTTTGACGCGCTGCTCATTGAGAATATGAAGACCGGCAATTTTCAGAATGTGAGTTTTTTTTCTCCAAAATAGTCCAAAAACCAGACAACGAGACACTCTCACTGCATGCGTCTCTCCAAAACTTCAAACACCTATATCTCGGCTTCCAGAAGAGCTAGACCGATACAAATCTAACATAATTACTGGAAAATGAGCAGAATTTATGAAATTTGAAAACTTTGCAAAAAAATCTGAAAATTTTGAAAAATGATGTTTTTACATTTTTTTTTCAAAATGCATAATTTTTGTTAAGGTAGAAATTTTACACACTTTTCTGAAAAAATGAGCTTTCTAGCTCTTCTAGGAGCCGAGATACAGCCACGTGAAATTTTGAAGAGACGCAGACAACTAGACACTCTGAGAGACGCAGACGACGAGACACTCTGCGTCCCTAGCCTCCAAAACTTTGAATGCCTGTATCTCGACTGCTAGAATAGCTAGAAACTCGGTTCTTTTTGTGTTCTGTAGCACTTTTGATATATTTTCCATTTTTTACACTTTTAAAAAGAAAAATTTCAGACAGACATGTCAAAATCAGACATGTGGTATGAAACTAAAGTTTATAAAAACTTAAGAAATGAAAAAGATTTTGGTGGGGAAACCAACTTTCTAGCTTGTCTGGGGGCCGAGATATGGTCGTTTGAAGTTTAGGCGAGACGCAGACAACGAGACACGCTGCGTCTCTAGCTTCCAAAACTTCAAATGGTTATATCTCGGCTCCTAGAAAAGCTAGAAGCTTGATTCTTTTTGTATTTTGTAGCATTTTTCTTCTGTTTCCCATTTTTGAAAACAAAGCTAAATTTCATAAAAAATCCATCCGTTCCAGGACCCCAACTTCCTTCCCTACCTCACTCGCCTCATCATTCCATTATCAATCCCGGACAATGCGAAAACCGAAGAGAATCTTCTAGAATCTCTGGATTGGGCTTCTGGGTGCTCAGCGATTCTTCAAGCCAACGAAGTGATAAGGCTCAAGGAGAAGAGGACTTGTAATGTTTGTAAGTTTGTCTAGCCTGGCCGAGTTTCGGGTTTTCTAGGCCACCGAAAACGCTAGAAATTTCCAGAAATTTCATATTTTCAGCCATGGAATTCCCCCGTTATCACTGGGAGAAAATCAACATGAAGGAGTACAAATACGTCTACGGTTCGAGTGTTTTGGGCACTCAAAAGTCTGAAAGTCTGCCCGGAATCGTTAAGGCCGATTTGGAACATGGAGATCACAAAGTTTGGCGCCGAGAAAATGTGAACCAAGTGTGCGGCGAGCCCATCTTCGTGCCAGATCCAGAAGGCGTCGATGAGGATGATGATGAGTTTTGGGTTATAACTTGAAAACTACAAAAACTAGAAAGGAGTTGTCAACTAGGAAAATGTGTAATATTAAGTTCTACACATTTTTGTAGTTAGCAACTTTTTTCTAGCTATAACAGGAAGCGAGATATAAGCGATGTAACCTGAATCCTAGAGCTGTCTACTGTAACGGCGCATAACTCGGGACTACGCTCTGTTATCAAAAAGTTGTCAACTACAAAATGCGAAAAAGAAAATTCTACACATTTTACTAGTTGACAACTTTTTGATAGCAGAAAATTCTACACGTTTTTGTAGTTGACAACTTTTTGATAGCAGTCCTTAAACTCGAGTTATGCGCCTTTAAAGTTAAAAATAATTTTTTTCAACATAAAAATTTTCTAAAATTCCAGGTTGCCTCATCGTCCCCATAATGACACTTTCCGAAGGTCAAAACCCATTTGTGCTAATTTTGGACGCTAAAAATTTGCTGGAAATCGCGAGATTCACAATTCCAGAAGCCCGAATTCCACTCGGATTCCATGGATTCTATAAAGGAAGACCGGAAATTTGAATTTTGTTTAAATTTGCCAATATTTCATATATAAATTTGCCAATATTTTTTAAATTTGCCACAATTTTACCTCTTTTTTTTAACACGAATAAATGTCTGAAAATGCTGAAAAAATCGCAAAAAAAAAAGATTTTTGCAATGCGCCTTTAAGAATTACAGTAACCTCGCGATTCGGATTTTCAGGAAAATTTTTTTCCATTGAATCTGAGATTTTTTCAATGAAACTAGCTTGAAAACCCCTAATTTTTGTTCTGAAACTCCTTTAGATTTATTAAAAATCGATAAAACCAGTTTTTAACACTTTCCACTCGACACTCCATCGGCTAATTTCACAAATGCGCCTTTAAGGATTACTGTAGAAAACAAATAATTTTCTAAAGGAGTTGAGTTTTTTCCACCTATTGTCGAATTAAAAAAAGTGGGACCTGGAAAATTTCGCGGGCGGCTTCCCGGTTAATTTTCGAGGCCTTGCCACAGAAACACTACGGTAGTGAACGAAACTTATTCCTGTGAATTTAGTGGGATTTTCTGAACAAAATTTAGATTTCTTGGTAGGAAGATGATTGCTAGCATCTCTAGAATCTGTTTTTCATCGGAAAATCGAACATCGGAAAATCGAACTTAAAACGAAAATCTGAAATATTACGTTTTTGCCGCACTTTTTCGTAGATCAAAAAAAGCTACGCCTTTCAATTTTCAGGTCCTATTTTTTTTAATTCGACAATATTTCAACTCGTTTTTCTCCCGTTTTTTCTGGAATTTTTTGCCAAAA